TTGCAACCTTTAAATGACGATTTATCAGTTTGTTATGTGTAAATTTGTAGATTGTCATCATGGATTCTATAATAATAACAAAGATAAGTTAATTTAGTCTCGTAGGCCTCTACTATGATGTCTAGTGGACCTAGAAAAATCATTCAGGAACTAAAAAAGGAATATTTTCCTGAGGGTTAGTATATGTGAGCCTGATTTCAGTGCCACTATCATAAATTGGGTAGACTTGAGCTCATCCTTAAGCTCTTTAAGAAGATAGAGTAGGCTCAACGATCACTCCATATCCAAAACTTATTATTCTATTTCTGTACAATTAATACTACACATCAATTCAGAAGAAAAGACTACGTTATGCAACTGATGTGAAGAGGTAATCCTTGAGAGGGAAAAATTCTCATGAAAAATACAGCTCATGCACAAGGTATTACACTCAACATTAATGTGGTCTCTAGCACTCAAAGCCACAAAGAGAAGTGACTAAAAATATTTAAAGAAAGGCCAAGAAGGGACATGATTTGCCTAAGGCTTCCTACTAATTGGGGGTAGTATACTGGCATAGGTTAAAAAGAAGGAAAAGGTAAATAGATCATTCCCTAAAACAGAACCATCTACTCTTTACCAGTTGATTATGTGAAAGAATTTTTCTCAGCAAGAATAGATTTTCACTAATTGTTTCAGGATGAAAGTGATGAGAGTAATGTACTGACCTCAATTATTTTAAAACTTTTCATCTTGAAATCATTTTAAATTTACAGAAAAGTTGCAAAGATAATGGAGGCCAACATCCCCTTATGGTAACATCTCACTTAACCCTGTTACATTTATCAAAACTAAGAAATTATTATTGGTATAATACTATTAACTAAACCACACACTTTATTTCTATATCACCAGTTTTCCCATTATTGTTGGTTTGTTTGTTTTTTCTCCTGTTCCAGGGTCCAATTCAGAGTATCATGTTCATTTAGTATAAAAATCTTTTAATCCCCATGTTTTTATCATGGGGATTTCTTTAACAAGAAACAACTGATGTCTTTTCAAATTCATTAGCACAAATATGCCCATAAAGATTTCTATGTTACCTGGTAAAATTGTGACCCAAAAGAGCAGAATAAAGAAAAAGAGATGAATCTTCATGGTAGAGAATTTCTTAGGAAAAAAATATCAACAGATCTTTTTCCAGTCAGGTTTGTCAAATAAGGAAACAGAGAACCCTTTTTATTTATAGATTCTCCTGGGAAGTGGTTCTAACTACTGAGGCTTATCAATAGCAAGAACATTTGTATGCTTGGTTGAATTGTGCTATGTTCAAAGAGCATGGTCACAAAAAAATTATTATTAATTTTTTCTATTGCGTTACCTTAAATAAACTATCATGAAAACACAATCTTTAAGGGACTTTTAAGTGATATGAGTTTGGATTGCTAAAACATCATGGTAAAAATGTTTCAAAAATATAATTCTCTGTTATATGTTACTTATAATGCTACATATGTTAATGATCTTAATATTAAGCTATTGAATGTTTGAATCATAGGATTTTGTAGCTGAAAGTTTCCACTGAGATCACTTTTGTTTACAGATGAAAACAATGAGAACTAGGGAAGTTAAATGATTTATTTTAATTCAGATAATGTGTAATTATTTAAATGTAATATGATCAGGAAATTGTGGATTCATTAATGAGTACGAGAAATACTTTACACAATAGGTTTTTAAATGACATAATTTTCTTATAATAAATCATCAGATTTCACAATTCTAGGTTCAATGTTTTTAATTCTGCTTATGGAACTGGAAGTGACTTCTGATCCAATTTGAACACTGCCCAAGTCTACTATTTCAGATATACATGGAAGAACTAGAAGTTTTACACAGTATCCAGAAGCTGATGCTGTAGTTAGAGAACAATTAATCAATTCCTCTTACCACAGAATCAAGGAATTTCTAGAACGTTGTTCTCAAACATTAGCTTATCACAATCCTCTAGAGGGCTTATTAAAAACAGATTGGATATTAGCCCCTTATCAGAGGTGTTGTTTCCAAAAATCTTCTCCCATTTGGTTGGTTGCCTTTTTATTTTGTCAAAAACATTTATCTGTAAGGATATATGTGCTTTGATGTTCATTTCAGCTTTATTTACAGTGGCCAAGACATGGAAACAACCAAAGTGTCCTTTGATAGATACCGTAATTGGATAAAAAAGCTGTGGTATATGTACACAATGGAATACTATTCTCCCATAAGAAAAGATAAAATAGTGCCATTTGCAACAATATGGATATATCTTGAGATTATTATGCTAAGTGAAATAAGTCAGACAGAAAAAGTTGAGAACCATATGACTTCACTAGCATGTGGGATATAAAACTAAAAACAACAAAGGAACAAGACAGACAAATGAAGAAACAAAAACTCATAGACGTAGACCATACTTTAGTGGTACCAGAGGGTAAGGGGGAAGGGGGGTGGTAGATGAGGGTAAAACGAATCAAATATATGGTAATGGAAGGAGAACTGACTCTGGGTGGTGAACACACAATGTGAAATATAGATGATCTATTACAGAATTGTACACCTGAAACCTATGTAACTTTACTAACAATTGNTAATTGAGACACACGTCTGATGAGAGATGACATTGATTAAGAAAAAAAAATGAGACTGTCTAGAAGGTGTGGCCATCATTGGCCATCACATGATTTCTAAAATTACCAGTGTTCTGAGCTACATGTTTCATATTGTAGCTTGGAGACTGACAATCACTAGAAGTTTATTACTTAGGATAGTTGGAGATACTTGGGAAATTGTGGGATGTAGTTTGATAGGCTGTAAGATCAATTCCAAGCCAAATATATTTTTAATTTTATATTTTACATTATATGTTGGCCCATATGTTTTCAGAAAGAAGCCCTTTGTTTTGGAATGTTAGAACTACATGGGGCTTAGGTGCATTGACCCCCACCCCCAGACACACACACACACAAAGTTGAAAATCCACATATAACTTTTGACTCCCTCAAAACTTAACTACTAATAGCTACTGTTAACTGGAAGCCTTACCAATAACATAAATAGTGGGCTAATACATATTTTGGATGTTATATGTATTACATACTGTATTCTTATAATACAGTAAGCTACAGAAAAAAAGTGTTATTAAGAAGAAAATCATAAGGAAGAGAGAATGCATTTAGAGTATTTATTGAAAAAAAATCCATGTTTCAGTGGACCACACAGTTCAGAGCTGTGTTGTTTAAGGGTCAACTATATGCTCCTTGTTAAGCTCTAAACCAGCTCCTAGAGCAGGGTTTTTCATCTAGGCACTATTGACCTTTTGGGTTGAACAGGTTTTTTTTTTTGCTGTGGGATGCTATCCTGTTCACTGAAGGATGTTTAGCAGCATCTCTGGCCTCTACCCACTAGACACCAGTAGTTCCAGTTGTGACAACCTAAAATGTCTTCAGACATTGCCTAATGTCTCTTTGGAAACAAAGTTGCCTGTCACTGAAAACCATCTTCTAGTGATANAATCAAACCCTCTCAAGTTACAGGAGAGAAAAGTGAAATCAAGAGAAATTAATTTATTTGCTTAACAATTGTTATCCTTTAAAAAATATTTCAAGTTATAAAATACAAATGGAAACGTTGGACTTAAATCAAATGTGAGAACTTTGGTTTAGCTATTTTTTTGTGTGGAAAAGAAAAAAAATTGAAAATTCAATATCAGCTGACAGGAGGAAGACCACTTCAATATACCATGATGTAGCACTTATTCAATAAATATTTATTGAGCTCTAAATTTTGCCAAGTTGGAATTTGCTACAATATGATGGCATATTAGAGGAAAAATCAGAGTTTAAGTATTAACCCACAGGGTGACATCAACCAAAATGATGGGGGTGAAGACCTTTAAGAATCTGCTCCTCCAAAAAAGCAATGTAAAAACTGGTGAAAACTATCACAATTAACTGTTTTAGAACTTTGGAAATAAAGGCTTGCAACAACTGAGAGAGTACTAATCCAAGAAAAATCACCAAATCTCTTAAGAAGAATGAGCTTTGTAACATTTCAACATACCCTAGTCCCATCCCTTACTCCTCAGCTCAGCAGAAACCTTGAAAAACAATGGTCCACATTCATGGTACCAGATGGAGTAGAACAAGGCTAGAGCTCTTCAAATTCTCACTGACAAAGAATGGTCATTATTTATCCTGTCAGGTAGTTTCCTGGAAGACCCCAGTTAAAGGTTTATCTTAATTTTTCCTGACCTAGAACATGTACAGTACTAAAGACACTCCCAAGGAGTATTTTTCAAAAACATTTATAGGCAAATGTTTTAGTCACTGTTATCTGAAGCAGTGGGTAATAGTTATGGTAAACAATAGTCTAACCAAAAAAATTGGAAGGAAAGCTTGAGGAAGAAAATCTGTATAGAGGCTTTGAAAGGGAATCCTTTTGGCTGAAATGGAAGGATACAAAATAGTAACTGGAATGAACATGAAAGAATAAGGAATACCACCAGTAAAGATCATTATATACTTTATCACTAAATATAAAAGAATAATTGTATTTTTATTTGTGACTTTTTTTTCCTACATGATTTAGAAGACAACTGCATGGAGCTATAAAGTTGCAAAAATTTTGCGTAATATTGAAATTAAGTTGGTATTAATACAAAGTAGATTCTTATGTGATGTTAGCTGTAATTTCCATTGCAATCTCTAAGAAAATAACTTTAAAAGTCTGAAAAGAAACAACCAGAGAAATAAAATGTTACA